GGGGGGATTAAAGGTGCTGGACGGCGCTGCACTCCATACTCGGAGGTGTTCTGTTGACAGAAACCAATTTACGGTTTGGAAATGGGGTTTCCTTGGTAGTCGATTTAAATAACTTCATATGAAAAATCTTCTTGGATCCAACCGCAGGATTGAAAGGCAATTGCACGTGATAGCTGCGCATTTCTTGAGAAGCGGGCAGCTCTTCCTCACCTATAGCTCGACTCCATATAACTCGTGAATCTATAACTCTCGCGCGTTTGGACCGTAAACTGTCGCCAATCTTGAAGTGGCGCTGCTCGACGTTGATTCGCTGAAAATGTGGACATATCTGTGACGTGATTGCACTTCGAATATGTATCCGCTCCGATCTGACGGGTCGCTTCAAGGTGCAAGAGAGACTCGTCTCGTCAAGCTAACGCCCGCTCGCCTTAAGACGTACGGACCCCTTCACGCCTCAACTCCTCTGTGTAGCGACTATAAAAGCTTGCTGAGTAGTATTAAGTGTTGACTCCACTATCCCAGTGCTCTCCTACGCAGTGCAGAGTCATGCAGGCGATTCGAGAGACTATCTACTCGTTCAAGGCGCGTTGGTTCGACACACATGCCCAGTGCGTCATTGCATTAGGTCTGCTGATACAGAGCACCGATGACTAACCCGTTGTATTGGTAATGGTGCAGACTTAATCGCCAATACAATGTGCGGTACTTCGTGGACACGCACAACGTCGAGATCTTCGACACTAAAACTAGTCGCCTGTTCCTCAAGAAGAGCGAATGTCCAGCCACACTTTCGGCCAAGGACTTTTTCTTGGGGGCCAAGGTGCTTATCTACGGCCGCCACTTCGAGCTACAGGACTATCTAGACCCATTCACAGCCGAGAAGCTCGGGCGACAGCAGCAGAAGTCCGTGTTAGTGATCAAAGCACGCATGGTGGACCATGTCGGTGCCGTGCTGGAATTCCTTTCGCACCAGCAGTTCGCTTTCTCTGCGGTTAAGATGATGCAAGTGAGACGTCCCCATGCAGAGAAGTTGTTCGAGTTGCAACGCGGAACGGACGACTTTGAACTGAGAGTTAATCAACTGGCTGGGGCCCCTATTGTAGCAATGGAGCTCGTACAGGAGAACTGCCTCGAGACACTTAAGCAAGTAGTGAGCAACTTAAGCACACGCTTTGACGCCGAACCTGGCGAGTTCGAGAGCGCGTCGTCCGTTCTAGAAGCGCAACAGCTCCGCAGCTTCTACTTCGAGACGCCACACGCCCCGACCGCTACATTCGAGCACTGTACGTGTTGCGTGGTGCTCCCACATGTGATAAAGGAAGGGCTGGTTGGAGAGGTGGTGTCTGCTATCCAGCGCGACGGCGGTGTCCGGATCACGGCCATGGAGCTCTTCACCCTCGATCGCACCACCGCTGCAGAATTCCTCGAGGTCTATGAAGGTGTCGTGCCGCACTTTAACGAGTCTGTGGACCACTTTACCACCGGTCCTTGTCTAGCGATGGAGCTGGTGGGGCAACACACCAAAGACGTCGTGACCCAGTTCCGTGCCAGCGCTGGTCCCTGGGACGTCGAGATGGCCAAGGAACTCCAGCCACAGACGATCCGTGCTAAGTTCGGCCATGATCGCGTCCGCAATGCTGTGCACTGCACCGACCTCGCTGAGGACGGTGTCCTGGAATGCCAGTACTTCTTCGACATCCTGTCGCGACGCCAACTGCGTGGCTAATTCCGTCATCCTCTAGTGTGCCAACCCATAGCTCCAACGGTTTCCTGATCGAAGCTCCACAGCGTTCAGCAGTCTTCCTTTTCCGTCTTCAGCCATCAACAATCTTCCACAAAATCAGTATACAGAAAACAAAGCAGCACAGTGAAAAATAGGCACCACTCAGCGATCTCACATTATAATGGAGTCCTGTAGCTCAGTGAGCTTAGTATCTGTACTTGGTAGAGTAGTCTTTGGGCGAGATGACAAGGCCACGGCCCTTGCGTGCGCCGCGATAGACTGTCTCGATGATGTCGATCATCTCGCCTTTGTTGTTGAAAGCCCAGTTGATCTTGTTGTTGTTGCCCGTGCCCAGGTCTATCATGATGTGCTTGTTGCGGAAGAAAAACATGACAGTGCAGGGGTCGTAGAGCTCGTACATGGTGTTGAAATCGGGCACCTCGGTGATGTCCACGACGTAAATAACGGCAAAGTTCTTGACGTCCTCAGCAATGCCACAGAGCACCTCGTCCATCTGCATGCAGGTCGGATCGTGGTCATGGCCAAAGCGAATCACCACCACGCGGTCGCCCTCGTTCAGGATGGCCTGGTCCACGGCCCAGCCACTCTCCAGGTGAGGCAGCAAGTACGACATTATTGGTGGCTTCCTGTATTGATAGAGTTCTGGAATGCACAATGGCACCCACGAATGATGTCACTCTAACGAGGTTCTGCCACAACACAGTGACTTTGCGGCTTTTCACATGTCAGCAGAAGAAATCAGGTTGACAGATATCGCGTTACAGAGGTTTTTATTCCTCTGTAACGCAGTTCTGCCCAATTCATTTCATCTAGTATTTAAAGTGTTTACCATACTTTTTTCTCTCTGATAGTCGATACTTGGGGTGGAAGAGGTGGCTAATTTGACCATCACTCCGAGTGCGCACTCGCATTTCAGGCTCACATAAGAATCTCGACACTTGCGGGTGATCTTGCGCACTGTGCACGTCGCTGAGGGTCAGCATGGCGTCGCTCTCTGCTCGTCGACGGAGGCTTCGAGTGTCTGCGTGTCTGCTGCTCTCGCTCTCCTTGCTCTCCCTCGTCACATCCACCGCCTCAGTTGAAGTCAAGCCAGAGATGTTGAAGCACTTGGACGAGCACAAGCCCCACTGCGCCGACTTCCTGCAGCATTGCGCATGGAACTCCAGCACGTCTTCATGCGAGTTCTCTGATTCAATTTCCTTCATGTGCGGTCCTCGCGGAGCTGTTGAGGCTCCTGCATCAATACCCACAGGTTCAGGATCTCTCCTGAGTGCTGCGGCAGTCTCTGCATCGTCTTTCACAGGATATTCCGATGGAGACGTAGGAGTCTCAGCTGTGGCAGGATTCACATGCCATTGGGACGTGCCAGGAGACCTTCACTTTGCTCCAGGAGTGACGGTCGCAGTGGAAGGAGACGACTGCCTGCTGCACATTGGCTCGGGTCAGATGGTGCTCCTGGGTGCTAAAGCCACGTTGAAGGCGTCATCGCTTAGTGTTGAGGCCTCGTTTGTGCATCTAGAAGAGAAAGCTCAGATCTCAGCGTCCTACAGTGGCGCGTTCCGTGATGGCAATGGGCTCTTTACAGGGACGGACGTGTTTGGTGCAAGTCATGGAGGCGGAGGCGGCCAGAGACTCATTGCTAATGCTACCATGCTCACAGAGCAGACAACGAGAGGGTTCTTTGATGTACGAGGACGGACGGTTAATGTGGAGCTTATTGAAGAGAAGGAAGCGCTGTTAAAGCAAAGCAGCGCTGGATGGCAGTTGGCTGACTTGTGGGCCAAGGAGAAGGCTTTGATGGCGGACCCAGCAGTGATGACGGCGTCCTCCGGAGCGTCAGGGGATCCCAGTGCGACAATCGCACCGTTTCTTCTCGGTAGTGGCAGTCGTGTGGTAGTTACTGGGAATGGGTCTAGTAATCACGTTGTTACGGTTGATGGAGGAGGCCGAATTCAGATCAAAGCGTCAAAGGATGTTGTGGTGATGGCTGGTGCTACAATCCAGGCCAACGGAGGGTCTGCGATCGATGAAGTTAGTGGAGGCTCGGGAGGTTCAGTGTATATTTCAGCGAATGCGCTGTCAGTAAGTGGAAAGGTAGAGGCTAAGGGTGGAGACGCGTTCTGCACCGATAACGCTGCAGCTAGAGGCATTACGCACTGCTTCCCTGCAGGTGGCGGTGGTCGTGTACAGATCTCGTTCATGTCGAGTCAATTGGATACCAATGCGATTGATACAACGGGTGGTACGTTGAACGCAGACCAAGTTAAGGAACTTCTAGCGAAGAATCTACGCTTTCGTCATGTACAGATCTCAGCGCTGGCTGGAGCAGCGGGTACGTACTACCAGGTGGTCCAGCATTCAGATGGAGTACATGAAGCCCAGCTTCTGGTTGATAACGACATGCAGCGTCTGTGGCCCACGGGTGTGCAAAGTGAAGACGGAGGAGCTGTTGATATTGATGAAATGGATACAGTTATTGGTGGTGCTGTTACCAGCTTGGACGTTGGAGATGATGAAGCAGAGAACATTGATGCTATTACAATCACTGACGGTGCGGTTGTCGCGACAGAATGTCTTAAGCTAGCTGAGGGAGACCTGAAGGTGCTTAACGGCTCGTTTCTATTGGACGCATTACTGGTCGGACTGCCACATCAGCTACCCGATTCAATCAGCGCTCACAGCAACAGCAAACCTCCTCTTCTACAGATTCACGTGCGCGACATGGTTGTCTCCAGTGCTGCACAGATGATCATGCCCACCAGTGCTTTGCAGCTCTCTGCTCGCTCTGTATTAATGGACGCAACGACTGCTCTAGAGTTTACGTGGAGTGTGCAGATCATTACAAGCCAGAACATCCACCTTGATGCCAACATATCGAGCGCTCTGGATCCTATTATTGCTGTTCCTGCGACAACATCGTCATCACCTTCGACTGCCAAGCTATTGAATAGTAAGATGCTGGCCCTGGTAAGTGGTGGTGATGTGTTTCTAAGTGGAGTGATTGCTGTGGGTGCGCTCTCGGTATCTTCCGATTTCTCTATCTCGATTAACGGCCACCTCGAAGCGCTGAATGATCCCAGTATCAAGTCAACCTTTCGCTCTTGTAAGGAACAGCAATGGCTATCACTTCATTCGTTGAAGTCAGATTTCGGGAAGGAAGATACTCACGGGTCTGCGAATGGTGGAGCATCGATACCAAATATTCCATCTGCGTTGCCCAGCATAAGCAACTTTACACTGGTTTTACACGCGCGTGAGTCGATTTATGTTGGTCAATCAGAAGAAAAGAAGCAGCAATTGGAGGACCTGCTTCAGGAAGACGACGAACTGCCTCCGCAACCGCTCGGTCATGTACGTGGCGGCGCAGTCTTAGTATGTGCTACTGACTCGGTGGAGATTTCGCATGGGTCTATCCTATCAGCGGATGGAATGGGGGAACTGGCTAACCAAGGCCCCGGAATGGGTTCCTGCGTCGGCTCTATCGGGGGAGGGGCTGGATACGGCGGTCGCGGAGCTGACTCGAGCGTAATAACCAATACCGGCAACTACGCATCTGGTGGTCTGCCTTACGGCACACGATCCGGTACAGGTATGCTTGGCTCGGGTGGTGGCTGTGTGGACGGCGGAAATGGTGGCGGTATCGTTATGCTTGGTGCCTCGGGTCTTGTGCTTAATGGTGAGATTCACTGTAATGGCGATGGTGGGGCAAACGGTGCAGGAGGGGGTTCTGGAGGCTTTTTAGGACTCTCTGTTGCTCAATATCTGCGTGGACATGGACACATTAGTGCTGTTGGTGGTGGATCTGAATGTGCTGAGACTATCGAGAATCTTGTAAGCGAGTCGAAGTGGCAAGAACCAGCATATCTTATCGGAAAGACGCAGGATGATGCCGCTGACGAACAAGCCGAGGCACAGGCACCGAGTTCGAAGGTTGTCCCTCGTCTCTGCGGTGGTGGTGGTGGTGGCGGCCGTCTGCAGCTCACAGGATGCGAATTGAGTACCTTTGATCGCTGTACAAGAGACTTTGACGGCAACTACACAGTGGCAGGTGGTGCTACTTCGTACAAATTAATCAGTGGCGATACTCCAGAACTTCCAGCTCCCACTCCGGCGTCGCCTGTTGCCCAAAAGTCCATCGTTCCGGCTGGTGCGAGTGGATCATTTTTTGGCTTCCCTTGTCCTCCAGGCTCTGGTGGTCTTTTCTGCCGCATGTGTCCAGTAGGAAAATACAAGTCCGAGAGCAACAGCGCCGAGTGCGTTGTGTGCACTAACGCGCCATCAAACGCGCATTACATCGGGGTCGGTGCCACCAGTGCACGCTGTGATTGGGCATGCGATCCTGGTTACTCCGGTTACTACTGCGTCTCGCCTATTCAGCAGTTGCTCGATGCATGTGGTGGAGAGTTTGGCTTTGCCCTTGTATTAATGAGCATTGTGGCCTTCTTCATCTTGCTTGGTTACGCCTGTCGGAACCGTAAGGAGCCATCCTACACGCGTATGTACAACAGTCGAGGAGCTAAAGGTGAGCGACAACACTTGCTGTCGTCTGCTGTGGCCAACTCACAACGTAGCTGGTTCGCGTCGCTGTTTCGCTGCTTCTACTGGCCTCGAGTTGGCTACCCGAAACTCATGGAGCGTGACCTCCCAGAGCACATGGCACGACTTTATCTAGCTGGATACAACGACCCAGACTCCCCACTCAAGCTCCGCACCACAGTCCCGCCATCTTTGAAGAAAGTACTGTATGATGTTGAGTTTAAGAACTTGGCGGATCGAATCAACCGCGTCTTGGCGTGGCAACGTGGTCCGTGTTCGAGTTGGGGGAAGATCGTGTACTTTCTGGTGGCAGTACTGTGCTATCCATTTGCGTCCGAGGTGAGACTCTTCCGACGTCATATCCGTGTGAACGAGCTCAAGCGGATTGTGGCCAAGTACAACCATGCATGCATGAAAGGCCCTCGAGCACGTGGTTTGCTTAATGCAGTCAAGCTCGGCTATTGCGCTGACTACTCGCTTGTCTACCTCGAGTTGCTGTACAAGGAGAGCTCCCAGTCCGTATGCGTGCCTACGACCAAGATCGGCAAGCCTTCACTACCCCTGGTACTGCTGTTTGCAGGCTGTGGAACGTACTTCTCGCCGTTCTACTTGGACCCGAATGATCTGCTTGTCCGCTCGATCCCGCAATGTCCCGAGTTGACGGCGTTTATTGATGAACCGTGGATTGAATTCGTTGCTGAATTGAACGAACTGTTACGCGTGGTGCAGCGTGACGAGACTTCGCTTGTGGAATCGCTTATTCCTGTGGCTGTGTATCTCGAGAAGCAGCGTGCATTGTCAGCAATGGGAAGCAACTCGAGCAAACTGGGAGGACTACGCATCTATCTCGGTCGATTCTATGTGCAGGACGAGCTGAATATGGGCGAGGAGTTCAAACTTGGCTTGTTCTTGACAACTGCAGATGAATCACTTGACAACGTCAGCAGCAACAATAATCTCCAGTCTCACCCGCAGCCCCCGCCGTCTTCTAGTCGATACGGCTACGGCAGTGTCCACTCGAAAGATACAAACTACTACAACATTAACGACGTCTATGGATACGGGCGTGGGGACTCACTAGATTACCCAGGCCCTCGCCGAAGTGACGGGAGCTTTGGTAACGACGCTATGCTCTACGATATGGGCGGATGGGGAACAGCTTTGAATAATCCCGGTTCTTCCTCGCGCGGAAGGAGTCGTAGTGCCAATGCTTCTGGAAATGGGAACACATCTTCACAAAATCCAGTGAGCAGTATTCGAGAAGAGGCTCTGCGTATTCGCTCTTCCAGTACACAGGGCGAAGGTTTGGGAAGCAATGGGCACTCCGGACGCGGCGGAAATACAGACGATGTTCTGGTGCTAATGGGTTCGACAACGAAGAAGAAGCACCATGACAGTGCAGCAAAGCACACATTCTATGAAGGGTGGTTGGGCCCAGTAGACGCATCGCTTCCTGTGCCCGGAGTATTGATTTGTGCCGACGAATTGCGGGAACGTCTCGCCGATCGAGCTCCTCGTCAGATGCTTATCTCGTTCCTTCGCTTCCACCTGCTGCCTCGCAATCTACCACGCAGTAGTTCCCTCAACTTGGCGTGGATGTTGAGCATTTCGCTACTGACGCTCTTGATGGTAGATCTAGCCATCACGTTCGCCATCTTGGTGAACCTGAAGTGCGTCACTGACGGTGAAGTAGACCACGACTGCAGTGCTTCTATCATGGTACCGGTATTACTGGTACCACCGCTTGCTCTCGTCGTGTCTCCTATCATGGGTATCGTATCGCTGGCACTTTCGTCTTCGACCTTCACGCGTCGATTCTCGGTGTGGAACGCGATGTCTATGATCAGTGTAGGGATCGCCATCTTGGCGTGTATCGCGCAGTCTAGTCGACTTGTGGCTCCGTGGTTTGCAGGCCCGTTGCCTTTGCTTCCGGTGATTGCCATGGGCGTCAAGGCCGGTCAAGCGTATCTGGTGGAGCGATACATCGCCTTTCAAGAGACTCAGCGTCGGCGTCGCGGCTGGCGCGGCATCATGAAGCGCCGACTGTCAGACGCCAGCATCCCGACTGAATCTCCTTAGTAAGTATGCCCGCATATTTTTCCTTAATGAACCAGCAGGTGGTCTAAACGTTGGGCTTGTGATTCATTAGCTCGTCACCTGCTCCCGGCCGAGCAGAATTCCGCCTTGCTTCAACACCTACGAGCAGAGACGACCAAGGATTTACAGGATACGGGGCCTACAACTAACTCTACAACTTGCTCAAGGTATACAATTTCATGCCAAGTGAATATAAAAATGCAAATGTTGCGAATATGAATTGCCGGAACGTCAAGAAGCAGCAGTCAAGAAATAATCAAAGAGGTGCGGTCTGCTAACGTTACTACTGAGTTTATGAAGATGAAATTTAGGCTTATGCTAGATTGTCGAGCAGCGACATGGACCAGGTAAATGTCGTTTGCCACCCTCATTATTAGTATCTTTTCCAAAAAAAACAAAATGCATCCACGCTACAATCCGGAACCCAATGGAGCAGTTCCGCTCTCGTCGCCGCCCTACTGCGCCATCCCCGTCACATATTATCGTCATTTCCTGGATCGTTGCCAGCGTTCACTACATCATACCAATCGAAGTCAGTACCAGCGAGATGAGGAGCACCACAAGAAATGGTTCGTTATCAATCGTGTGCACATTCGTGAGTGCATTTGCGAGTTTTTGGGAACGTTTGTTATGATCTGCTTCGGTTTGGGTGTCAACAACCAAGTGAGTCTGTCCGAGGAGACCAACGGCACGTGGCTCAGCATTAACATGGCGTGGGGTATTGGTATCCTTATGGCTGTTTACTGCTCTGAAGGCGTCAGCGGCGCGCATTTGAATCCGTCCGTCACGCTCGCACACTGCGTGTATGGCCGTCTACCATGGTGGAAGATGCCGGGTTACTGTCTTTCGCAGTTGGTTGGCGCTTTCGTTGGAGCTGCGGCTATTTACCTGCTCGACTACCAGAAAATTCAGAAGATCGATCCAGATCTGGAGACCACGCAGAGCAATTTTGCCACCTACCCAAGCGACGACATTAGCAATTACACGGCGTTCTACACGGAGGCACTGGCCACAGGAATGTTGCTGCTTTGCATTTATGCGATCACGGACCAAAACAATCGTTCTCCGGGTACGGTAGGTACGCCGTTTGCCTTTGCGTTGATGATCATGGCGCTTGGAATGAGCTTCGGCATGAACACCGGCTACGCGATGAACCCAGCGCGTGACTTTGGTCCTCGTTTGTTGACGTACATGGTGGGATACGGCTCGAAGGTTTGGACGGCAGATCACTATTACTTTTGGATTCCAATTGTTGCTCCACTTGCTGGTGGTGTGATCGGCGCTGGTTTGTACAAACTCCTGGTTCAAATACAGCATCCCCACGAACACGAATTGTAGGATTTTGCGATATGAGCAGCAATTAATTCTGAAAACATGTACGCTCCATAAAAAAAGACAGCTTGTAGTGTACTTGTGTTCAAATTCGTTTACCAAGTACTTCTAAGTTCTTAGCTCATTTATTGCGAGGGCTTGCTGAATCGAGAAGCAAACTACAAATGCTTGTTGGGTCTGAACCTGGAGCGTGTATAATGCAGCGCCAATCACACACACCACCAACAAAGAGGAGTGACGTTAGGGATCCAAAAGTTATAGTGATTGTACCGGCCATTGACATCATTTTTTTTAAAAGAAAAAAAATGCCACTACTATATTCGTTCGAACACTAAACATCTTCCCTCGCAGTTTTAAATGTCGTTTCTTGTCACAGGGAGCGACATCGGTCGCTCGATCTACTTAGATGCTGCTTTGATTTTGCCGTGACAGCCAACCAGGGATACACACATTGTTTTTTGAAAGGTACGTATACTCGCATATCACTGCATGTAGACTATTAATTGAGTTAATTTTCTTCTACGTGAATGTGCTCGAGCGCCTCATCAAGGAGCACTTTGTCCAGTTTCACGGAAATCTTGAAGATATCCTCCTCAATCGATTTGAGAACGATACCGGTGAATTGTTCAGCCACACCCACACATGAGGCTGCTGCGCCAATGTGCATCGGTACTACACGGGAACATGTCTCTACAATAGCGCACGAATCCATGGCTGACGAATGCACTATGCACCATCCAGTTTCATCGGTATGCATCCCACTGAAGACTCCTTCACCCTCGGCAAGCGCCCGCCATACCAGCACTGTGCGATCTTTCTCTTCGAAGCGCCGAATAGCATAGTGCATCACCACATACGCTTCCGAATTGCTTCCGTGTAAGCGAAATCTCATAGCCAGAGTGTTCTCCGGGTCGTCTACTACGCGATAGAGCAGTCGGTCTTCCTGTCGATGACCCAGAATGACGAGTTGCCACAGATAATGGCACGTCTGGCGATATTCAAACGGCATCATCTGCGTGCCATACGACTGGAAGAATTCCGTACCGTTTTGATTTTTCTCTCGTGTCGTCTTGATTATCGAAGACTGAGGGCTTGACTCGGTTGAACACGGGAATACACTGGCCGTTTGCTTGTAAACACCGGCCAATTCCAGAATGTATTGCTGGATCAGCGGAGACTCTGGGTGCTTCAAGCAGAGATCATTCCCTCCCCCAGATACCTTTCCGTTAGACCGCAGCACTGGATATGTACCGGTTTGTTGCAGTACTTGTTCGTGAAACGCATTGCGCATATCGTGGATCAAACCAACTCTCTTACGTATTTCATCTCGTAGAAAGCGACGCTCGTCTGTAAGCGCTTGCAAATTTAGAGTCTTTTGACAGGTAGGCGGCGACGTGCGAATGCCCACGTCGGCTTTACGCTCGAGGAGCTCAACTTGCACCGAAAGCTCCTTTATCTCCCGCGTCAAAGCCTCTCGCTCGCATTTCCGGCGTTGAACCGTCTTGCGTCGACGGATACGGTCCTTCAGTCTTCGCTTTTCTTTCTTGGCAAACTCTTCGACAGTCTCTTGTTTGCGTTTGCTACGTTTTGTCGGCGGTGATGTAACATCAACTAAGGCTGAGTCGAAGCCGCACGTGTTCTGCATCTTGCGTCTTACTGCTCGCGAGCAAAATTAAAAAGTGGAAGAACTTCGGCCCGATTAGGCACAGACGAAGCTTACGCGTCTCTAAGAATGGTGTACCATCATCATGATACCGGTAACCACAAAACTTTTACTTCGATCTTTTCCTTTTTTTTGACATTAACACTTATTCTGACTCATGGAGTATCACTTGTTGCAACGCAATCTATAAAACTTACTATTTCTTTAGAAAAACTCAAGCTCGGCATGGTCTATACAGTGGTGCACCTCGTTTTCGACACCGGTATGCCTCTATAACCTTCAAAATTTTATGATTCCGCTCAGTGCATTGCGCAAATCGTTTGCCATCACCGTTGGCTGAATTAACCGCAATGGTTTCCCCTCCTCTGACACGTCGCGCCGCAGCGACCTGACGCTACCGAACAGACGAGTATAAAACTGAAGCTCACCTTATTTTTTGCTGCATCATACCATGGCACGTCGCCCCTCCACCTATTCTACGCTAAGTCTCGCTGACAAGCAGACGATATGCTGCAAAGCTGCTGCTGAGCTATGGTGATCAGTAACAAAAGTTTCTACGTGGTCATTCACAAGCTTCCACCAAATACAACTGCTGCCTTGCATCCGATGGATCAAGGGATCATCAAGAGCCTCAAGGATCATTACCGGACAACAAAGTAAGAAGCAGAGCTGGACATGTTCTATAGGGGCGAAAACTATAAACCAGTCGATATTTATACAGCCATGAAGTGGTGCTCAGAAGGCTGGTCTAGTACTTCGACGAAGACAATTAGAAACTGCACAGCGGAAAGATGGATCTGCGATATCTACTGAATTAAAGTATTAAAAAACAGTACACTTGGCCCATCTGCGTTCCTGCATAAATTTTCGCCGTTGGCAGACTCTATATGGTCCACCCTGTCGAAAACGAGGTGCACCACTGTACGAGTATGTGTGGTCGGGAGTTCATTCGTGTGATCACTTTACACGCGTCATGCGCACACGTTTTCTTACACTTCCTATGAGTGCACGTAGACTTGTTCAATAACAGGGTCATGTTTCACGCAGAACTTCACCGAGGTCGAAGTCCTCAGCACCAGGACCGATGCCAATATCTTCGAGCACACGCTCCAGTGCGCATTCGTTGGAAAGGGATTCGTCCGAAGTGTTCGTCTCTAACTCCGTAAATTTGTCTGCTTGTTCAGCGACAGCATGAGATCCCGTATCATGAATGTTCATGCTGCTGATACCCTGGGCTATGGCGATACCGTCCTCCTCGCTGGATCGGTGGATGAGAATGGTGAATTGATTACTATCTTGCGCCTTGTGATCTCGATTAAAATGGATTGGCACTTGACGTACGTACGTTTCCTTGATTGTGCCCGATTCAAATGGCCGGATGATACACCAGCCTGTCTTGTCCGAGTGCGTACCACTCAGGCATCCGTTGCCTTCTGTGAGTGACCTCCATACGAGAATAGTTCGGTCTTCTTCATCATATCTCCGGACGACGATGTGTTCTGTAAGTGAGAGCGTCGAACCCGGGTAACCTTTGATACGAAACTTCACCGCGATGATGTTTCCAGAATTGGCTCCAGTGTGGACTTCGCGGTCGTCTTGGCGATGTATCATGTGCGCAACATTCCACAACGCGCGACGAGTCTGTTGGAGGTTACTGGGAATTAATTGCTTCCAAGCGTACTGGAAGTACTCGGCTCTGTCCCTATCTTGAGTCTTCCGTGTGGGTCTGAAGTTCAATGCTCCACACGTTATTGAGTTCATGCCACAGTCACGCATGACCTTGTCGGTTTGAGCATATAGAGCATCGAGTTGCTCAGTAAAGGCCTCAAACAGAATCGAGTCAGTTGGATCAACGCGCATGCGCTTGGTAGCAAGACTGAGTGAACAGCGCGAGACGACGTCATTTGCGAGCCGTGCTTCCCTCACTCGCTTCCTTACAAACCCTTGGAGGTCCTCGATGACGGCAGTTCGGGCGCTCACTGCTTGACGCAACTTCCGCTGCTCGCTCTCGGCTTCGAGTCTCGCTCCTCGTTGTAGAACTGCCAACGCTTTCCACATTGAAACCGGAATTGAGGAGGCTTGTGTGCACTCACTTATACCGTATGCCTTGCGTTTTTGGAGCACTTTCAGCTGCTCTGATAATATTCCGACCTGGTGGCGCAGATCTCGACGTAGTTTTTTCTCCCGTTCGCGATACATGCTGCGCCGGTGAGCGTCCTTTGATTTGAGAACAGGCTTCCGGTCTAGTCCTGTCGCGCTCTCCTCGTTGTCGATTTGGTCGAAAGTCGAGCTCAGTGGTGAGAGGCTGGAATCGGTAGATGCTTCCACACCTACTACCTCGGGCAGCATCAAAAGGCAGGATTCACCAAAGAACCCCGTTAACTCATCGAGAAACGCTGCGTTCATCCGAAGTTGGTTCATCAACGTTTAGCTGACGATCGAAGCGCGCAGTACCTGTTGTCACCTCTGTCAACGGCCGTGATAACTATTTGAATGAGGTCGGACAAGGTTACAGTTATTCATGGATGGAATGACCACGTAAACATTTGCCTCCATAAACTCGTCCAGCAGGAACTTGACCGTTCGGCCTCTACCGACGAGGATCCACAAGCAAACCGTGAGTGCTCCACAGATGGCGAAAAAATAGCTTTTAACACGGCAGATCTCGCGCAACCAGACGGGGTTCCGGGGACGTGCACAATGTTGTCAGATTATTGTATTTTGCCGATTCCAATTGGTTAAAAGCCAAAAATGAAGCAGAAAGAAGCCATTCCACGCGTTTAAGTAAGAATTTAGCGCTCTTAAGTACGAAAACACGTGTTTTCGACCGGGTGTAACTCGAAAAATATAACCCACCACTATTCTTAGAGTATTGATGTCTATCCCTAAACAACACTGCTTATCGATTTTTAAAAGTAATGATAATTGTAAATCATGGTTGCCCTCTGAAAAGTGTTGATCCCTGTGTATAATTCATTAAGTATTCTATTTTAATCTAGTCTAAATCCTAAAAACAAACCAAACCACAACTTCGCAACTAAAATGGAGGTTCCTGATCCGTCCTTCGTGACGCCGCCCTACGCGCCCCAGAGCTCCGTTGACGTTGCAACTTCGACTGCAGTATTGCCAAACGCTGTTAACCCAGCCACCACAGTTTCAGCTTCCGGTAACCCCGCTACCAAACCCAAGAAAAAGCGCAGCCACACGACCCCAACCAGAGACCGTGAGCGTCGCGAGCTCCTTGCGCTGCGTGTAGAGTCTGTAGAGCTCGAAGAGCAGTTACAACAGGCTCGAGAGCATCTTGCAGCTATCAGGAAGACACGCCTGGAGAAGATCGTGTCTAGCAGCAGCAGAATCGTTAGTACAGTGCCGGCTTGGAGACACATCGCACGACGGCATTTAAAGGCTCGACAAGAAGCTGAAAAAGAAAACCGACGACTGAGAGAGCAGCTAGCGGAGCACCTCAAGTGGAGCAATGCTTTGCAAGCTAAAGTGAACCAGAGAGGGGGCGGTGGAGATGAAAATTCGACGCGTGCGGCGGCTACGGCCGCTGCACTTGGAACCGTAGCGAATCCGCTGCTCTTGGCCGAAGATGAAGAAGGGATTACAGATTTGGAACTAGAATTAGACGATACAGATAGAGCAGAGCTGGATATGCTGACCAATGGACTAGATCTAGCATTCTCTCGAGTGGATGATGTGTTCAAGGAGCACTCAGTGAGCGGAGTGCCACAAGGAGCTGTGTCTGGGAGCAGGACGACGCTCGACGGAAAACCGGACGATGGAATGTCAACAGTGGAGCTGAGAGATACGAGAGTGATCCCGTTTGACTTCAAATTGGTCATCGATGCTGCGTGGAATGCGTGGGTGTTGTGGCATCTCGGAGGAAGCTGTCGGAAGAGCGTGTCGGCGCATCGGAGCTGCTCGTATCCCGATGTATCGAGGCCGGAACATACGTTTGCTGTCAAATTTCGTCTCCAGACTCCAGCGTCGAAGCTACCACCTGATGCTGCTTCTACTTTTCTAGATCTGAAGCTTGTATTGAGGAGATATGTGGAGCAGACTCGCTTGGTCTTGATATGGCGGGGACTCTCAGCAGGCGAGAACGACCTTGACGGTCTGTTCACAGATGAAACAGGATGGGTTGTTCTCGAACAAATGGCTCCATTTCAAGAGGGTGAAGGTGATACCGGTGCAGCAGCAGCCAGGACATCCATGAGGTCGTGTGTGCGCATGACACCGAAACGTGCAGATGATTGTGAAGCAACTCCAGCACAGGCACGTATCTTGACGAATCTTGTTGTAAATTCCTATGAAGAAGATGTCAGCTTCATTTATCGAGAGATGGAAGCGCAATTACTGCGCATAACAAGACATGTTTGAAAGTCCAAAGTAAGAATTTTAGAATATCCAGGTTTCTAACTCATCACATTTGCTAGCGCGTCATCAAGCAGCATCTTCTCCAGCGCCTGCATAACTGTTTTGTTCTCCTCCTCTCCCGTATTCACGACCATGTCTGTGAACTCATTGACGACGGGTGTGCAGGTCGAGGAATTACTAAAGTGCATCGGTACATTCCGGAAACAAGTGTCAAGAATCGTCCCCGTAGCGTCACTAGTTGTGGATGGTCGAATGACGCCCCATCCAGTTTCGTCCGAGTGCATACCTCGGAACAATCCCTCGCCTTCTGTAAACACTTTCCACACGACTACAACGCGGTTGATCTCCTGGTATCGACGAACCACAACGCGCTGTAGTAGCGACACAGTTTCGCCCATTCGACGACTTGTAACGCGAAATTTCATGGCCATAGTATTCTCTGGATTCTCTACGCCTTCGTAGATCTCTCGGTCTTCTTGTCGGTGCTTGAGTTGAGCCAAATGCCATACCGAATTGCAGGTCTGTTTGAATTTAAACGGCATTGTTTGTCGCTCTGCGTGCTGGTAGTATTCCGTTGCTCCATCCTTGTGTTTGGTGATGGAAGGAGTCTCTGCCATTTCGCATGCATTGATAACTTCGTCCGTCTGTAAGTAAACTGTGTGAAGCTCCTGAATGAACGTCTCAAATAGTGTGGAATCTGTAGGTTCCAGACGCATTTTCTTTTGCACTCGAGGTGTGTCTCCGAACTCGCCGCTAGTGATTGATCCGTCGTGAACACGCTTCTTCAAGAACCCACACAGATCATCGATTAACGTGGCTCGAGAGGAGATGGCTGCTCGAAGATGACTCTGTTCCTGCTCAGCAGCTTCTCTGTGTTGCTTCTGGCGACTAGCAATTGCTTTCCACAAACAACTCGACAGTGCGACATCGGTAGACGGGGACAAACTCCCAGAGTCCTGTAACTTGTCCAGTTTGGCCGACAATTCGTCGATTTCTCGACGTAGAGCTTCCTTTTCGGCCTTCTGACGCTGTCGATATTCACTACGACGGATGGCGTCCTTCGATCGTTGCCGTTGCTGCTCAGTCGCTACGACTGGTTTGTTGGATTTCTGAGCGTTAGAAGGAGCTGGCGCTATATTGCTGAGCGTTGGAAAGGTCTCCAAAGGGAGCAAGTCTGGAATTGATGAGCCTAGAAGAGATCCAGAATCTGCCAATAGACCATTTGGGTCCAGACTTTCAAGTGTTAGTGCTGCTGGCAGTGCTAGTTCGTCCGAGGCCTGGATGAAGTCCACTAACTCATCGAGTACGAAGTCATCCATTCTTTCGAGACTTGTCATCTTTTAAAATGACGATGGAGACTCAGGCTGGGTCTTCGCAAGTAAAAAATATACGGGTGGTTTTGCAATTCAGGTAGGACAGGAAAAAACTTGCAGATGGGGTGGATAAACAGCAGCCACACGCATGCAGGAGAGTGTTTGTCTGCGGAATAATCAGCTCCAGTTGACGGTTGCCAAGAGCATTCTGTGTGGTGCAGAGTTCCAATTGCATGTATTTTTGGCCTCCTTATTTTTCATTACTTACTGTAAGCTACACGTCAAAAATTACTACGATTACGATGACTGGATACGTATTTTAGGTGGTGGTAAACTACATGTAATGCCACTTACAGTAGTAGTAGAAATTAATCCAGCAAAAATTAAAAGTGTGCTAAGTTCTCTCACTTCCCAACAAAGATTGGTATGCAAAACGTGATTAGCGTTATAAATTATGTTTGTGGACGTCTTCGCTTAGTAAACTCCGAGTGCATCGTCCAACAGCAATTTTTCGAGCTTCTGCAGGCCTAGCTGACAGATTTCTTCGCCATCTTTTATCATCAGGTCGGCAAATTGTTTCGCCACATCAACCGAGCCAGTTGCTGTGCTGAAGGTGATCGGGACGAAGCGCGAGATCAACTCCACCACCGAGCTAACACTCCCGCTCACACGAGATGGTCGTATGATGCTCCACCCTGTTTCATCCGAGTGCATGCCGGCAAATTTGCCTTCACCCTCACTAAACTTCCTCCACACGAGAACCAGTCGGCCTTCTTCATTAAATCGACGAATAACACAATGCTGAGCAACCAATAGACCCCCCTGCCCTTCAATTCTGCATTTGGTTATTGTCGTATCACCAGGAACCCACGACTCCTCCACCACTTCAAATCCAGGGCGAAACTCCATACACGTCACCTCCTGCACATGTTCACGCACTCGCTCGTAGGCGAACGGAGTTGAGAACGATCCTGCCAGTTCATGATAATTGGCATCTTTGCTGGACGATCTCGGTGGGTTGTAGTACAGTCGAGTGTCCTCACTACTGTCCAAATCTGGTTGAACAGCACTGGCCTTGAAGACGCTGTCCGCCTTGGCATAAATCTCGTCCAGCTCGTCAATATAGGCTTCGTACAGCGCCCTATCGGGTGTTTCTGTACGTGGCTTTTTCACTGCATACCCTGCATCTTCAAGTGCTTCCTCACTAATTCTCTTTCTGATGAGAACGCCTAGATCTCGAATTAGCGTCGATCGTCTCTTTATAGCTGCTTGGAGTTTGGCACGTTGCTCCTCGGCGTTCATTCTGGCCTGTAGGTTCCTGTTAGCTAGCGCCTTCCACACTGCAGCTTGAGTCACGCTCATGCCCTCCTTGGCAGCTTCTTTCTTCTTCATGAGCGTCGACAATTGGCTCGAAAGCTCGTTTACCTGCTTGTAGAGAGCCTCTTTATGGGCCTTTTGCTTCTGTCTGTAAGTGCTGCGTCGGATAGCGTCTCGAGAGCGGATGTTGTCCGCCTCGGGGATACATTGCGGAGGAGAAGACGTGGACGCAGAGTCACTGTCGGTGGCTGCAGAGTGATGGTCTTTGTCATCGTCGGATTTGTCAGAAGCGCTGAACAGTCCGTCGAGCGCCGCGGAGTCGAGCACAAGAGGCTGCAGCGCCTGCTTGGACGCGTCTTTATCCAGAGACAGGAGGAGGTCATTGCCCGAGACGCTCGGGTCGTCCATGTGGAGGAGCCCCTCGACGTCGTCCAAGAACATTGCATCCGTCATTTTCAAGGTTATTGATGAATGAGTGTGGAAAAGGCAACTTTGTGCTGGACGATTGATTTACTGCCAATCATGTTTGAGTGGAGTAAACGGAGTGGGGGAAGGGGATAAAGTAAGCATATGAATGAATGTCTCACGACGAAACATAATCAGTGATGTGGACGACACGAATTACCACATTTTTTTTAAGTTGTCAAGTTGATAAATTTCGATCGGAAGAGCATAAATTACTTTCATATCCAGGCCCTACGCATCAACACACACCGAGGGCATCGTCCAGAAGGAGCGCTTCCAGCTTCTGCAAACACGCATGACAATCTTCTTCACCGGCTGAGATGATTGTGTCAGTGAACTCGTTTAGTTTGCCGCTAGGACTTGCCACGGTGTTGAAAGACATCGGCACATAACGAATGATCGATTCCATGACCGTGGCCGCTCCGTCCGAAGACGGTCGAACAATATTCCACCCCGTCTCGTCGGAGTGCATACCAGCGTACACTCCCTCGCCTTCTGTGAACTTCCGCCAAATAAGCACAATACGATCTTCCTCGTAGTACCGACGCGTAATTGCGTGTTGTACGAGGGATCCAACTGCATTCCCCACACGAGCTTGAATCCGGAACTTCACGACGGCCGTGTTATCAGAAACACCAGGTAATTGAATTCTCTCATAGTTAGCACGTTGCTCCATGCACTTTACTTCACCAACAAAAGCTCGCACACGGTCAAAAGGGAAGGGCGTCGTCATCTTTCCTGTCAGTTCGTGGTAGTTAGACTTCTTGGACACTGCACGCGCATCGTTGTAAAGCTCGTCGTCATTCGGCGAATCCTGCACTCCCGCCTCTTTAAAAATGCTGTCGGTTCTGGCGTACACTTCATCCAGCTCGTTGATAAAGGTCTCATACAGGGCCATGTCAGGCGACTCGATTCGGGGTTTCTTACTGGGCGAATATGCACGATCCACGTCGTGCTGTTCCTCGCTGATCCTCTTTCTAATAACGACACCCAGATCTTTAATAACGGCCGATCTCCTTTCTACCGCTTCACGAAGTCTGCGTTGCTGTTCTTCTGCCATAAGTCTGGCCTGCAAGTGTCGATTGGCCAGAGCCTTCCATAATGCCGTCTGAGCCAGTCCCAAGCCTCTTCTGGCCTTGATAGCTTCTTCCCTGCTCTGCAGTTCTGATAACTGATTCGACAACTGCTCCACTTCCTTGTAAAGTTCAGCTTTCTCGACTTTCCGCTTCTGTCTGTACGACCTGCGACGAATGGCGTCCTTCGAGCGGATGTTGTTGTCTACTGTAACCTCCGTGGTTCGTGGCGAGGAGACAGAGGCAACGCTCTCTGTTTCCACAGACGTGCAGTCACTGTCGGTAGCTGCAGAGTGATGGTCATCTTCCAAGGAAGTGAAGAGACCATCATCGATCGGTGACACGTCCAGTAATTGCAACGCGATGTCCGTGTCTGGGAGGGAGAGCAGAGGCTCTTCCTTATCGAGTGATAGCAGCAGATCGGCGCCGGAGACAGTTGGGTCGTCGATATTGTGCAGGAAACCCACCACTTCGTCTAAGAACACAGAATCTGCCATTGTGGCACAAAGAGACTCTTCTGCACTAGTGAAGATAAATGCGGAATGACTGGGGCTGAAGGCAAGTGGCGGCGTTTTACAGAAGATGGCGGGGGTAACGAACGGAAACGGGTCGTAAGCCCGATAGGGAAAGGGGAGCAGAGCAAAACACGTTCTTTGGAACCAATCAAAGAGCCGTATTTAGGTTATGAGAATGATGGTCAGATTTGTTTGGTAATCAGTAGTGTGGTGTACATATTTATTTTAAGGTCTAAAATCAGGATTTTCCTATTTTTTAAGACGCAACTCCAGATATTAAGAAATCTGAAAAAGTGACCTGTGAACAAGTTTAGGAAGGAACGCGTCCCCGTAGTATAGCATGAAGTGATGGACGAAGCTCAGCTTTAACTTCGCAACGACTGGAGGTTGATCATTTCACCGACGATTTCTCATGATTTTTTTTTAAACCTAATGTGTACGGCCCAAGCAACACCAAACACTTCCATCAGATAACAACCAGGTGGAAAGTGCGGCACTATTAACAACTAACGTTGTAATCAGTGCACAGAGCGAAAATGCGCACTTGCACAATTCTCGTCTAGCTCCTGGATAAAAGCCTCCAACCGTTCTCTCTCGTTTTTTTTTCGATACACTGCTTTTTGTTGTTTGGGCATCCTTGGACGGATGATTCGCTCTCCCGTTTCCGTATAACCCCACGCAGATTTCTGATGTACGCAGTTTGGACTTGAACAGAAATCATTAAGGCACGCTGTTCCTCTTCAGCTTGCAAACGCTCGCGCCGTAGCCGAGATGCGACAGATCTCCAAAACCAAAAGATTGGTGTTTGGGCTGCGTCGAACATGGCCTTCTCTTTCTCTTTGAGCTGTCGCACACATGATAGCTCCTCCTTTAGAACTCGTGCTTGCCGCCGCAATTCTTCGCGCTCACGCTTCTGTACCCGTCGATATACTCGCCGTCTACCGGCCTCCGTTGCTTTACGGATCTTGCGCTTACTGATCTCATCATTCTCGCTGGCGCCGCTGGTTAGACTTTCAATGTCTGCATCGTCAAGGATTTCTTCGCGGAGGACTAATTTGAGCTGTTCTTCATCGTCAAAACCCAACAACGCGTCAGCATCTGCGAGAAGAATCGTAGCGTCGAGGTCTTCCAAGGTAAGGTTGAAATGCTTCACTCCGCCGGACTGTATGGGTATTGCTGAATCGGCTGCTGATGTAGTGACCATCGCGTCTTGAAACAGAGCGTTGTCTTGAGGTGTTTGCTGAGCTTTGAGTTGTGACTAGCTGGTAGCTAGTCATTGATCGTTTGTCATGATAAGTCACACGACGTCGGGACAAATCTCAATACGCTCATCTTTTCGATGGCGAGGCAGCAGATGCCACTTTGCAAACAGCGATGGCGTGAGTGTAGTAAACACGACGACTAAAATGTTTTCGTCGGTTGTTATTAAATGCGTTTACTGGGTAACCATACTGTTGCTCCTCCATCCTTCTTTTTCAATCATACGCCACCAGGAGCATTTGCTTCCGGAGAGTAGACAGGTCTCGATGTTGCTGCTCGATATACATACTCATTTCGATTGTAGCGAAGGAAACGTATCGATACATTACAGCATTGCATGTAGATTTCTTTAAGCTACTGAAATAGCGAGGTCTAACTTGGTAAACTGTAGCTACTTTCGTAACTAGACATCAATTCTTGTGTAAATACATTCACCTTCAAGCAAACAAAAGGAAGAGTGATGGGGTCGTATTCTGACATGACCTGGATAAGATCGATAATTTATTTAGGCCTAAACTCACACCTGCCCGTATTGCTTCATGTGCTAGTGTTAGGAACGTTTGGGCCAACGGAGTCTTTGAAGTACATAGCCGCCTGACGAATACTTACCTTTAACACCCGTTGTGATTACGTTAGTGACATTTATAAGGTAAAGATTGTCCTTTGATTTTTTATGTCTTCCGAGTAAACTAGTTTTGAATGGGGATTCCGAGTAAAGCTGTGGGATGTGAGCGTATGCGCAAGGAAATACTGAATCCAGAGTAACGCTATCTTCTGCAGCCTTTGATGCAGGTTATCCTCTACTTTTGTAGCGTTGTTGTTTAATGAGCATATTGCCTCACTCAGCTTCGCGCTTAGCATTGATAAGAAGGAAGCGGCCCTCAATAGTGGTAGGCTTTCACGTTCTGCTACACGACGTGCACGGAGTTTGTGGGAGTGTCTGTTTTGGTTGCTGCTCCGTGCTCAGCCGTAGCGTGTGCACTCTCAATTCTTGGCTACATTCACTTGGGACCGAAGCTGGGTAATCCTAGCAATGCACAGGGCGGCTTGTTATCGAGGACTATAGGATTTTCATCGAGGAACATGGCAAAATGGCGCTTGATCGAGGAACATCACCCAAAACGGATATTTCAACGAGGGAGGATTCATGCAAAGGTACAGGTGAATAGCAGCAATCGAAAAGTGCAAATGTATTGAGCTGCATTGTGCCAGCACTTCTTAAACACAAATGCTGCCCTCGGTCGAGTCGGGAGTTCTCTCTGGCTCAAAGAGAGCTGGTCCCGTGATGTCCGCGCCGTGGATATAGGTATCATTACTAACTCTGCTACTGTGTTGATATCAATCTGAAGTCGACGCAAGTCAGAAAACATGAGCAACCAAAAGTAGCGCCCAGAGTTTTCAGCCCAAGAGACGACCTTGCCCAGCAAGTGGTGCATCGGTCCAGCGATGTCGTTCTTGGATACTGGAAATTCCTTCATAACAGTCCAATAAATGGACGCTACAGGATGTTGTAGAAATTCACGAGTGAGTGCATCAACAGAAAACTGGTGTGACTCGGCACCATCAGCCAATAAGACTCCCTTCGGCTATCGCTGACCTCCACTTGGTTTGCGTACTGGTAACGCCCTCAGCATCCCGTCCACAGAGATATCTCCTTGTAACACCATTGCTGCTATGACATGGCAACATTGTCAGCCTGTGTGAACGAAAGTCTTGTAATCGCAGGAGTAAATGAGCTCGCGTGTTTTTAATCTGAACCATAAATTTGCACGTGCTCAGTCAAACAGTTAATTGCAGGTAAGGACGCTGAGCTTACCTGGTCTATCGAGAACATTGGCGCGGCAGACAAACGGATGATTTTGTCTAGATGCAATAAACGCACGTGATACAGGGACAAACAGTACAGTTGTGCCTTGAACACCACGATATCTCGCGGTAGCTTGCCATTCAATGAGTTCAAGTACCTATCACAAACATAGTAAGAATGTTAGACCACGCTGACTCTCCTCGGAGCTATTGTACTGCTGTGAAACTACTAAAACGTACCGCTGCGCTCGCTGCCTATTAGTCAGGGCTTCGTGAATATTGGTTATTGTCACAAGAAAATCCTGTGCGTTGAAATGAATGCCTGTGAGCACCTTTGTGTAGGGCGCCTTCACGGAGTAGTAATTCTTCTTAGACAGAAGAAATCGTTGGGCATTTTTCCACCTCACCGCTTTTCAGAGGACCTGACACGACAAAACAAAACACAGATAGAGATCAGCAAAGGTTGGAAATGTCGGTGCCACTTCCAGATCTGGTTCGCGCCTTCACAGAAATGTCGAAGCTCTAACGGTTGAAATGTGGATAGCAATTCAGCAGAGTAATCTCGGGCCATACCTCCGCGAATGCGTTAGCTATTCCGGCCATACGGTCCAAGCTGCCGTACGCTAACTGTAAATCGATTCCAAAGAAAAGCTGTGCGTACCCTGTACTTAGGCAAACATCGCAGTGTGCGCTACCTGATGCTCAGCACTAACGAACACGTAAACCCACGGTGGGAATGTTTTGCTGTACTGGGTTCGGTCGTAGTGAGACCCATTCGTCCGGAAACCAACCAAAGTCCATCCACCTGGCAAACACAGGACTATTACTTAAATAAAATATACCCAGGACAGCACCGCATCAAAAAAAAAAAAAAAACTAGTAAGCCTTACCGTAATGGAGCCTGTAGGTTCCGTCCGTGACACCGACGATGCCATCGCTGCATTGACCATTATGAGCGTTGAGTACGTTCCTGAAAACTTGTCCGACTTTACCACATGGCCAAAACACGAGTCCTTCGTGCCGTTTTCAGTGGTGATGGCATGCTCGAAGCATTCTAAAACTAGAAACTCGTGTCGGAAATCTCTAGAGTTCTTGCAGAATGTTTGGGCATCATAAGCTGCATCAAAATCCCCCAACCAACAAGTCTCTACCATGACGGAAAAAGCTCTTGAGGAGCACATGCGAGGAAATACCCACTCCAAAAATTTTTTACAATATTCTTGATCTCCCATCCATCTAAAAGTAAACATACAGGATCAGGATTAGCGGTAGCACATGTAGGTGTATTAGTTCGTAAGCAAACTTTAAGCAAACCGTACTTGCCAGCGACGACTTCAAATGTGCCTTAAGGTTCTTGGGCTGGGTCGCATCTGGGACAGCGTTCCGTTCTTGAAGAATCTTGCGGTACTTTTTCGGACCACGGCCAAGCAACATATCGGCAACTTCTAACTTGAAGGCCCCGTGAATACTTCGTTTTTTTTTTTGCGTTTGTACCGTCCACCCCATGCTGTCCTGCGTGTTGTATCTTGAATTCTACGTCTCCATCCTTGCGTAGTCGAAGCCGCTTACCGCAGTCTTTGTGTGAGACGCACTTATACACACACTGTCCGTGACCTTTCTTCCCATAGTTGAAAGAGAACTTGTACATGCTGCTATCAAATGAATCGAACCCGGCTTTTGCTGCGCGAAGCGAATTGAACGCCGCCGCATGCTCAAACACCCGGCGTCTGGTGGGTGGTGCAACCTCCTCATCGTCCGACGACGCAAACGCGACGTCGCGTTCGCTTCCGTTTGCGATATCGTTGCCGTCCATAGCTGCTGGTTACGCATTATCACACACCGCCGTTCAATTTACTACACAAAATCATCCTAGAACACCGTGTAAATTTACGTACATGAACAGCTCCTGCCTCAAAAACAAATGGCTAGGGTAGGCACCGACTGGACCTACCCGAGAGAGCCAACCAGCTAGTGTCTTTGGTCCAGTTGCGTATATGGCTGGAAATCACGTGGAGCAGGTCCTTGGCAAATTGCTCAAGCATCATAGGTCCTCGCTTCCATCCGTTCCCAATTTTCCTCGAAAAAAAGCTACACTCGAAATGCACCCGCATCGGAGTCTCTATTTAATTGAGATTGCCTTACTCGAAAGTCAGTTGCATGCTACTCTGATTTTGTGCCTTGTGCATAATAATATTATTTCTGACTGATAAATTATAGTGATAAATGTTTGAGTGTTTAACGAAAAGTCTAACGAAATGTACAAGTCTCGCTGGATCAAATTTGGAGTAACTAAGCCCTATCTAAACATTTTCGGTCGGCTCCCGCAAATGCTTTATATTCGATAGTAGAACATGTTTGCTGGAGGAGTTTGGGGCAACACAGGAAAGAACCAATCACATAATGTGAGCCAATGCTTTTTGAAGCAGTACGTTTTCCATGGTCGACATAACTTTTGTCAAGATATCTTGGCTGGTTTCGTGCACCAAATTGAAAAACAGGCTGACATCCAATTCACATGACACTGGGGCAGTGGAGTGCACCGGCACACGATGAATACAGACCTCAATTGTTGTCCCGGGCTCCATTGCATCTTCCGAAGGTAGGAACCGACACCATCCGGTCTCGTCCGATTTAATCCCTTGAAAACTGTCGTTTCCTTCAATAATTAATCTCCAAATGATCACGATTCGATTGTCTTGAACGAATCGACGAGCTATATATAGCTGCGAACTCCGGAGTATATCTCCTGTCTCCAGTACATTTGTGTCGACGAACGTCGCTATAAACGTGTGTTCCGGGTCTTTGATGCTGTAGTACTCCACGTAGTCTGGCTTATCGCTGAAAAGACATTGGCCCAGTTGCCACAGTGTGTTGCTTGTTTCATGCAGGGGGGACGGCAGAACGAGCCTCAATTGTGGGTAGAAGAAATGCACACCACCGTCGGTGCCTCCTTGATCAGTGGCTCGGCTGATATCGCGAGACAACGAGGAGCTCGCTGCTTGAAATACTGCATCTGTTTGAAGGAATCTCGCTTCCAGCTCTTGAATGGGCCGGTTGAAGGATTCAGGAGGTTCATTGTTGTCGACAAACCAAGTTGAGTTGCTGGATTGTTCGTCCATGATCTTAAGCAGAGTGTCGATGTACATGGCTTGATTTAACATAGTGGAGCGAAGTTGTTGTTGTTGAGCCTCAGCATCATCGCGTTCTACTCGCAGTCGACTGGCAAGGTCTTTCCAAATCCAGTAAGCATGAGATTGGCAAGCGTCATGTTTTTCCTTCTCCGCCTTGTTCAACTGCTGCAGCCGCAACATCTCCTGGCGTAGATCGGCTTCTTGACGTCGCAGTTCATCGCACTCGGCTTTCGACCCACTGCGATAGACTCGACACTTGATTATCCTTCGAGTTTTGCGTTTTCTAAGCTTGGCGTTGCGTGTATCTGGGACGACAAGCGCTACGGATTCCTCCGTTGGCAACCGACTGCTTTTCTCCGATACAGGATCTTGTGCGTCGGCGGTGTCTAACTGGCACTCCATCTTGAGCGGTACTATGCTTCGAGTTCAGACGACCTCACCGTTGGTGTGTTTGCGCTACGAGTCAAACGTGTGAGTGAGTACGTAAAAATAGCACGTCTACGTAGGAGAATACGAACTCCACAATAAAGCGCTCACCGCCTATCCATGTGGACCACGTGGTATAGGTGGTGATCGCGTGAGCCGAGAAAGCAATGTACAGATTGGCTTGATGCAAGCAATGCTTACTTATTCTACTCTTGTGACTAATCAAGCGCATCTACACAGATAAAGGTAATCATTGTGACTATTCCTACCTGAAGTCAACCATCCTTACAAATATGAAGGGTAAAAAGGTTATGGATGAATATAAACACTTTTCCGACCATACTAAAGCTTTGTTTTGTGCCAATTTCGTTATAATCAGCCAATCAGAAAATTGTATTTAATTTTAGCCAATCATATTACTTGACAATGATTAATTTAGCCAATTGCAACATTGAGGGTTAGGTAGGTCCTCTAAGCCAGTCATTCCGACGTATCGAGTCGGAAACCAAGGAGAAATATATGTATGTCCTTACGAAGTTCTAGATACTTGCATATCATTTGCATATTTGCATCCTTTCCGACCATTATGGGCCTGGACGAGCTCAAGCCTGGAAACACCAAGCGTGCTCAAGCTACGGCCATCAAGGCCTTCAAAACATTTGTAAAGGCCGAAAATGTTGATTTTGACTATGTCAAGCGATGCATTGAAAAAGATGACACCGGTAAGTGTTTGGTATCTGTATTAGATAAGTTTGGTATGTATCTTGCATTTAATGAGGGTAAGAACGGTAAGCCACTCTCTCGTAATACATCGATGCAGTACTATCGACAGAGCAAAATGTGGCTTTTTGAAGTTTTCCCTGCGCAACGACATATTGTGGAAGCAAAGTTGCTAAGTATGGGGAAGACACTCGAGAGCTATTGTATGAAAAGAGATGGTAAAGTCGTTAACAAAGCGCCTCCGTGCTCAAAGAGTTACTTAAAAAAGATGATATTGTATTTCTATCAAAATGCATGTTCCCCAAGTGACTACCAAGACGCAGCTTTGCTGTGCATACTCTGGTACCTATTTGGGAGAGCTTCAGACCTGACTCTCGTCCGTAAGCAGAATCTCTCTGTTGACGCAGCCGAGGTATTCTTCGTTCGCTTCATCCGCTTGAAGACCTCTGAAGAACAGGGGCTGTCACTCTT